TATGTATATATATATATATATATGTATATATATATATATATATATACATATATATATATATATACATGCACATATTAAATAAATATATTTATTTAATTTAAATAATTTAGTTTAATTTAATTAAAATAAATAAATAAATTTAATTTGTGTTTATTAGAGGGGAGCCTCGGGCTCTGCAGCGAGCGAAGAATAATGACAAATAAACAAACTGCTGCTGCTCCTGCTGCTGCTGCAGCTGCTGCTGCAGCTGCACAGGCAGATGTTGCAGCTGATGCTGCAGTTGCAGCTACAGCTGCTGGTATTCCTGGTTTTGCTGCTGCAGCTGCTGCAGTTGATGCAGCTGCTGCTGCAGTTTACTGCTGCTGCAGCTTACTGCTGCTGCAGTTTACTGCTGGTGCAGCTTACTGCTGCTGCAGCTACTGCTTCTGCTGCAGCTTGCTGCTTATGCTGCAGCTTGCTGCTGCTGCTGCTATGGAAGGGATTTCCTTCTTACTTCTGCTAGTGCAGCAGGCAGCAGCAGCAAACCGCTAAAAACAGCAAATGTGCACAGCACCCCGAACAGCACATCCCACCCGTAAGCCTCAGACACTGCAGCAGTCAAATTCCCCTGAAACGCAGCAGCAGCAGCAGCAGCAGCAGCAGCAGCAGAAGCAATATGAACAGATGCAGCAGCAGCAGATAGCAGGGAAGGCTCAAGAACAACACGAAAACAGCCGTGCTGCTGTCGGTGTCAGCAGTAGCTCGAAAAAGGCACAGGTGCAGCAGCAGCAGCAGCAGCGGCAGCAGCAGCAGCAACAGCAGCAACAGAAGCAGCAAAAACAGGAACAGCAACAGCAGCAACGGCAACAGCAGCAACAACAAGAGCAGCAACAAAAGCAAAATCAGCAACAGAAACAACAACAGCAGCAAAATCAACAGCAGCAGCCAAAACAAGAACAGCAACAACAACAACAGCAGCAGCAGCAGCAACTGCAGCATATTACCTGGACAAGGGCCCCCACGGCCCCCATAGCGTTGATAACTGCAGCAGTTGCGGGTACAGCAGCAGCAGGCAGGTTTCGTAGGTCTGCTATCTCTTGTGCTGCTGATGCTCCTAAGATAGAGTCGGGAGCAGCAACAGAGAACCCTACAAGCAGCATACAGAGCAGCAGCACGTGCACCTGGCGCTTCTCTGCTGCTGCTGTTGCTGCTGTTGCTGCGGCTGCAGATGATTCCGCAGCAAATAGCTGCTCCGCGTGCTCCTGCTGCAGCAATCGCATGTCTTCCTGCTGCTGCAGCTCCAGCCGCAGCAGAGTCAAAGACCACTGGTCACTGCCTTCCGAATCTGCTGCCGCTTCTGCTGCTGCTGCTGCTGCTGCTGCTGCTAAAGCAGCGGCTGCTTCCCCCCGCTGTTCGCCCCGCCGTGGCTTCTCCATCTGCTGCTGCTGCTGCTGCTTCTCTTTTTGAGATCGCAGCAGCGGGCCCTCCGCTCTCACTGGCTGCAGAGACACCTCACCCTGCGTGTCCAGAGAGCCTGCTGCTGCTGCTGCTGCTGGTGAGGCTACTGCTGCAGCAAGCTTACGCGGCGACGCTGCTGCAGGCTGCTCTTGCTGCGGTTGCTGCTGTTGTTGCTGCAGGGCAGGCTGCTGCTGCTGCTGCTGCTGCTGCACCGGCAGCTGAGGTACTTGAGGCGGAGGTTGCATGCGCTGCTGCTCCAGCTGCTGCTGCTGCGGTTGTTGCTGTTGCAGAGTAAGCGACTGCTGTTGCTGCGGAAGTTGTTGCTGCGCAGGCTGCTGCGGCTGCTCCTGAGGTTGTTGCTGAGCTTGTTGTTGCTGCGGCATCTGCTGCTGCGGTTGCTGCTGAGGTTGCTGCTGCTGCAGTTGCTGCTGCAGGGGTTGCTGGGGCTGCTGCTGCGGTTGTTGCTGCTGCAGGGGTTGCTGAGGGGACTGCTGCTGCTGAGGTTGCTGCTGCAGGGGTTGCTGAGGGGACTGCTGCTGCTGAGGTTGCTGCTGCAGGGGTTGCTGCAGTTGTTGCTGCTGCAGGGGTTGCGGCAGGGGCTGCTGCTGCTGCAGGGGTTGCTGCAGGGGCTGCTGCTGCTGCAGGGGAGGCTGCAGGGGCTGCTGCTGCTGCTGAGGTTGCTGCTGCAGTTGCTGCTGTAAGGGTTGCTGCGGCTGCTGCAAAGGTTGCTGCAGGGGCTGCTGCTCCTGCAGGGGTTGCTGCAGCTGCTGTAGGGGTTGCTGCGGCTGCTGTAGGGGTTGCTGCGGCTGCTGCAGGGGTTGCTGCTGCTGCTGCTGTAGGGGAGGCTGCGGCTGCTGCTGCTGCTGCTGTAGGGGTTGCTGCGGCTGCTGCAGGGGTTGCTGCGGCTGCTGCTGCTGTAGGGGAGGCTGCGGCTGCTGCTGCTGCTGTAGGGGTTGCTGCGGCTGCTGCTGCTGCATGGGTTGCTGCGGCTGCTGC